CATGATGTGCATGGCTGCCTTTGGGACATGCTCACAAACTGCCGCCTGTTTTCTGGATGCAGCGGAATGTCGCGATGGCAACGCCAACGCGGTGATGTCAGCAGCATGTTCTCTTTATATTGTAGGTTCACTATCCGTTTTGGCATACTCACTATTCATGTATTTCCCTCCATGAATTTGACAATACATTTCATTGGCTCAATGCCATTATACACACATCTATAGAGTATAGATATACTCACTGTGGATGCACGTGTGGGTTCTGCGCGCTATCGTCCGTTGCCTGATGACCGTGACCATGTATTTGAAAGTCCCGAACACGGACCACGATGCCGAAAGCGAGCAGCCTAGGCCTTCGCAAGGTGCGACCCAAAAAGTATGGGAATGGGATGAGCGTGAGTCATGTTTTAGACACAGGGCTTCGTTTGTTGATCCATTTAATGATAAGGACGGTAGGAAGCGGAAGCTTGTACTTTGTAGTTTTCTACTATTGCTATAGGTATGAAGGTTTTGACATCTCCTTTTATTTGCGCATAGCGAGCATTGCCCGGCCATGCGGTGTGGCGAGCATATAGCCCTGCCACAGGCTACGTGCCTGGCAAGTTCCTGCAGCACTTCCTGGCAAGCCTTCAACGCCGCCCCAGCCTAAGGGGAAGGCATCCAAACCATCTGAGCCCATGAAGGGACCATGCCGGCCAAAAGAAAAGAAGATGCCCAAGCCACCGCCAGAGCCAGCGTGGCAACCGCCAAAGCCCCCCACCCCAGTGATACCAGCAGCAACGCGCATAAGGCGCCTCCAAAATGGATATCCAAGGATTGGACGGGGGTGATCAAGGTCGATGATGATGACAGCAGGACGGACGAGACATGGGGGTCATGGAAGGCAGATGACACCATCGACAAGAGTTGGGACATGCAGGGCACCATCGACAAGAGTTGGGACATGCAGTGGCTATGGGGAACCCCCCATTGGGAGGGCACTGTCTCTCATGGGTGGCGTGACCATGACAAGGGTCAAGAGGCAGGTGGATGGGGCACTGGTTCATCCGACGCAGGTGGATGGGCTGGATCATCGTCAGATGGGCAAGGCCAAGGCCATCAGTGGCAGCACACCATGGTGAAGAGCGAGGGTCAGGGTTGGACCAAGATTCTAAGCTTGTCTTCAAGTATACATAGCAATTTGCTATTGGTTGTCTTGTTAGATACCCCTCAGTTAGCCAAGATCAAATGGTCTAATTTGTTGTCATCCAAAAAGGTTTAGCTTTTACATCAATGGCCCTTGGGCAGGTATAGACCATATTATAAACAACTTACAATGCCTAGCCTTTTAGTTTGCTGCAGTTTGCCATAGTCCAGCATACATGCACCCATGGACCGGCCCGTTTCCCAGGAATGAATCGATGAGCTGGGGCATGGAGACGGGCCAAGACTGCACCATCACGACGATGGCCAAGGCAGAATGCCTGCAAATCGAGAAGTTCCTGGGTAAACCTTAGACCCTCAGGATCTATAGAGTAGAATCTTTGCAATGGATAAACTTGGACCCGCAGTTCTCTCAGAAACTATATGTTGCATGCAGACCTTGCTCGCTGCACTGCCTTTGCGGGCAATGCTCGCAGGCAATGACAAAACGGTCACCACATTCAAATACTTCTATTTCAGTATCCCACCATATTGACCGTTTGTAACTTCACTGATTGGCATTCCCTAAAGTTTCCTTGAATATACTTCATGTGTTTTCAAGTCATTGTGCATCCATATACAGCTGTGTGTTATCCTAAAGTTTGTTGGAATATACTTCATTTGTTTTCAAGTCATTGTGTATCCATATACAGCTGTGTGTTACCTTAAAGTTTCCTTGAATATACTTAATTTGTTCAAGTCATTGCGAAACCATATTGTTCCTTATTACCATGTGGAAACACCAAGGCCGAAGCGCATGCGAGATGCTTCAAACCGACGCCGGGGCGGCTACAAGTACCAGAAGCAGTTGCAGAACAGGATGCGTGAGCAGGAAAGGATTGAGACACAAGACCAGATCAGCCAGGCTCTGAACATCATGGGGAGCCTGGCGCGATCTTTGGAGACTGTCTTGGATTGATGGAGCCCATGGATGGTAACTAAAACGAACTGAAAGGACTATCTACAAAGTGAACTTGTATTTGTTGGTTTGCCAGCGGGCAGCTCAATCCAATGGCATGATTCCAAACGGCTCGGACCCATGCGCCACCTATGAGTGCTGCCTGCATCGGGCTATGGACACTGGGGCAGGGCAAACACTTACACAACACACAAGAATGCAACACAACATATAGGGCCCCATCATTATAGATTCATGGACATTCCAACCTTGATGGCCAATTGTGTTGATTGAATCGACATCATTTCTTTGGTGTCTATATACCTGGCGCGTTTCAGTCTCGGCATGTGCTTCGCGCCACAGGTATGGCAAGCCACCGCGATGGACTTATAATGACTGATATGTTCAGCTGTATGTGTGACATGGTGCATCATACCCAATTGAATGCATTGTGACCTTTGCGTGGTCGGCTACCATTGTTTGGCGCCTGAGAAATACCATGCATGGGAGCCCACTCACGTGTTTCCAGTTTATGCATGGTGTCAAGGAAACCCTTTTGAACCAATTGGCATAAACCGGTCTGTGATTCCATTTAAGAATGCTATCGTGTGTGTTGCTTTTAGCGCACGGTGGCAATGGTGGGCTTCCATTCAGTGTTCAAGCCACTGTTCAAGCCATTGCACGATTAATGACAATATAGAGGAACCATATTTGTTTTCAGGATGTCAAGCGAAATGTGGTGATGTATGATTTAATTCTTTGAGAAAGCTGGCTTGAACGTGAACTTTCAAGTACAGAGGCTCTACCATGGCAAGAATATGTATTTATACATATTTATTTATATGTGGCAGGTTTTCGAACAAAGCGTTGTCCTTTATTATTGAAATGTTACATTGTCATATGAGCATGTCACGTCAATGCTTTGCCGTGGACGCCGATATATGGTGTCAGATTTCCTCCGCAAACATCACTGCGTGAGCAAAAACAAATAGGATATCACGACTTGAGCGCTGGGTGGGATATTCTTGGGTGGACGATGCTGCAAGTCGTTTTGGACTTTGGACTGGTTTGGACATTTCTCTAAGTACAAAAGTACACTGGACACTGCAACCCTAAACCCTAAATGGATGCCAGACAATGATGATCTAACATGTTGAAAAATGATGACTGTTGTTCTGCTTTTCTAGGTGGCCAATCATGAAGATTCAGGTTTGTTCCGTTTTGAAGCTTCAAGTTCAAAAAA